TGCATATAAATACATAAATAAATAAATAAATAAATATATATATATACATATACATATATATATATACTGTTTAATCATTTGGTTATTTATATACGTGTATGCGTGCCGGCATGCTTAAAAGCATCAGTTCTTCTATGGGTAGCCAACCTACTCTGCCTGACCCCAAACTTGGGTCCTAATGTCCGAAAGCTCCAAGGTCGTATCAGGAAGACCCGTTACAGGGGACCCTTCTGAACCCTATTTCCGGCTCTCTTGCAAGGGACGTTGTTGAGAGGGTCGATGTCCCAAGGGTCCCCCTCATCGTAACTCCCAAAAGCATAAAACTTTGCTCGATACCTTCTCGCCTGGGCGGATCACGAGTCGAGACGCAGTCTGCCTGCTACATGTCAGCTAATCATGACCCCACGACGAAAGCGCATCAACACCCAGAAGTTATTCGAATCCGATGCATTTGTCAACACTGCCAAATGAAGTGGGCGTGGTGATGATGGTTGTTGTGGCGGTGGCGGTGGCAGTGGGGGTGGTCGTGGTGGTTGCGTGGTGGTGTGCTGGGGGTGAGGAGGAGCAGGATCATGGGAAGTGGCCGCCTACTGAGTCTATCCATACTGTGTTTCAGACTATTGCTGCCACCACCACGACAAGCACGACTACAAGAGGCAGGCTTAACAGGAGTTTAGGAAGAAGACCTTATGCTCAATGGGCACCTTTGCTTCCATTATATGTGGGGTAAGCTTGGCTCCTAATTCTACTCCTCTCCGTGCGACTGTTAGTTGGTTTCGCTGTGGATGTGTGCTCAGGCTGGGAAGCCACGGCATGTTTACGGTAGGAGCGCCGGATTCGTCTCTTTTTTCCGGCTTGTGATTCTGCGCGCACCTAATGCAGACAGCTAGACTGTAGAACCCAGTTCAACCGGCAGAAGCAAATCCAGAGCAGCCCCGAAAGTCTTGTGGGAACCTGCAAGCTCTATGACTCTCTATACCCCAAACCAATACCTCCAGCCCTAGCCCCTGAATAAGATGCAGATCGTTTCGGCCGTGGTGCTACAACAAACCCCTCAAAGAGGGCTGAAACCACATAGCCTTCGGGCTCAGCCCCCTAAAAACCCCCTAGCCTGAAACCCCCCGAAAGTCCCCAGAACTACTAACCCGAAGAAAGGCTCGATCCTGCGCAAAGCCATGGTCCAGCTGCGGCCCAGCATCTTCAAGCGAAGTGCAGATGCTTCGCTTCTGCTTGGAAGTACTTGCGGAAGTAGCGAGAGCTGAAACACATAAGGTCGTGTAGGTAAGTCTGTCCTTCCAAGGATCTGTTCATGCAAGTGGGACGCCACTGGCCTGTAGCTTCGTAGGCAGCAAAACCTCAACCCTAAACCCTGAACCCTACTTGGAGGTTCATGGGTAGTTATACGTAGGGTTATAAGTCCCCTGATATGGGTTATAATTACAGTTACCCTACTTATAACCCCACTTATAACTACCCATGAACCCCCAAGTAGTCAGATCCGAGTCCCTTGACTGGCAGCAGCCATGCGCTGGTGCCGATAAGGTTTCCGCATTCTGTGCCTCCGAAACGCGAGGCCATGTACCGGCAGGCCCTAAAACCCTATCTAGAGCCTCCATGCCCCAACACCTTAACCGCAAAAAGCCCCCAAACCCTTAAACCCTTTTGGCTAAGCCCTTTCCCTGCTACACGTAAAGTCACAAAATTCTCGAACAGTGCTGAACCTTCCAAGGAAGTCAACAGTGACGAAGCTGCGGCCGCTAAGGCAGCGGAGCCTTCTGGCAAGTCCCAGCTCGTGAAGTTTAGGGTGGAGGGTATAGGCTTTAACTAGGTGTCCATTTTCGAACATGTTAATTTCCCGTTGTGATCATACCCTGATGTATGGAGGTAGTAACTCACAAAACAGATTGCGGTTCTTAAGCTACAAATCATGCATTGGTTTCGTGGCAGTGATCCGCGCTCAGTGTCTCTGCTGCCTAGCTGACTACGGCTTTTGTAAGAAAAGAATCTCTGCAGCCCTAAGCCGCTGCCTGAGCCAGCGCCTTCGATGGACAACTAGGTTGAAACTAGTATACTATACTATGCTACGCTATATACTATACTACATTATACTAATACTAGGACCACTACTAAAAATATTAAATACTCTTTGTAGAAGCCTGAAGAAGATAGCAATACTATGCCTAAGGCTCCTTCGGGTTCTTCTTGGTGTTTACAGTGCTAGTAAGCCCCAAAACCCTCGTCTAAATATCAAGGGCCCACGGTGTTGGGGGTTTAGGGTTTTAGGGTTTATAGGGTTTATGGCTTGGGGTTTAGGGTAGCTGCATCCCGACATGCACAGATAGAGCCTGCGCCAGATGCTACCTCAAGCAAGTACTCCAGACCAAACTTCAAGAGACCACTGCACCGTCATCCTCTACCGTAAGCCCGTCTTCCCAACATGCTTAAAGACAACCCTAAACCCTAAACCCTAAAGGGTGTTGTCCGGAGGCTTTCCGTCCCTCGGCAGCGCCATCGAAAGCTCCCACTGCAGCGCCTTGACACAGGGTTGTTCGGGCAATCGTGCTTACGCGGCAAGGATCGGAGGTGTGAGGGTTTAGAAGTTTAGGGTGTAGGGTTCAGGGTTTAGGGTTCAGGGGTTTTATGGGGGTTTAGGGCTTTCAGGTTTGATCTACCGACTTCGGGGACTCCACGGCCTTGCCCAGGTCCATTCGGCCCCCGGCGGTGCCGAGGATGAGCGAGCACAGCAGGACTGAGAGGTTTAGGGGTTTAGGGGTT